AAACATTTGCGTTATATCAGAAAGCACAACAATGAGATGAAATCTGAATTTGAGAAGAACAGTGTTGATATCTATTTGTAGTTTGGGCCCTGCTAGAAGGGTAGAATTTAAACTGAGTCCTTTTGATCCTTTGGATGAGGCATTAAATACCACACGGACCTTGGTACTTGACTTATCTGGTCGTAGCACACCGTGATGTGGTAAATAGTTAAGAAACTCTGGTTTTGGTTCTGATGTAGAGATTAAGCTCATGTGATCGTTTTTCAGATAATTAGTCATAAATTCAGAATACTGGGAATAGAGTGTAGGATTTTTTGATAGTTTAGATTCTAGCGACAACAAACATCTGTAAGCTTGAGTATAGGTTTGACCTAGATCTGGCCTGGAATGACGAAAAGGTAAGGATACTTGGAAACGTCCTGTTTCGTCTCTGGTTACTGTTTTTTGAAAAAATGACTCGCATCTTTGTTCATCTGGAGATAGGAAAGTTTTTGACGGAAGTGATTCGACTTCCCAAAATTTACAGATCGTTTGATCCAGGGACGGCTCATTCAGGGCGGTAAGATTACAAGAGAGCGCTGGGGATTGATTTGTTACATATGAAGCTGTTGCCTTCCCAAGAAGTACCCATCCGAAGACAGTTTCTAGAGCAAGTGGCTGTCCTGGTGATCCTGGAATAATTCCTGGTCTTATGATTTCTGAATAGGCCTGAGCACCTAGAAGTATGTCGATTGGAACAGGAATATGGAAGGTATCATCCCCCAATTTTAAATTAGCAATATGATGCCAATGTTTAGTATCCAATTGAAGTGATGGCATTTCTGCGCTGACTTTAGGTAAAACATATACCTCGAATTGAAAAATAGGATTACTCTGACCCACAGGCTTTATTGTACAACTTGTTATACCTTTTGTATTCGAGGTAGATTGATTTATTCCATGAATCGGAACTACAAACTTCCTCCTGGATAACCCTAGGCGATTGAGACATTTCTCGGAAATAAAATTAGCTTGTGAGGCATTATCAAGAACTACTCGTACCGTTTGGTAATTTCCAAGAGCATCTAAAATGTCTATTTTTGTGGTAGAGAGAAGTATGGTAGTTTGAGGTTATTGCTTGGTGAGTGAGGTGCACCCACAGTTAATGAATTGCGTATTATTGTTTGGTGGTGGATTTTGAATAGATTGTGCATTATTGTTTTGTGTGTTGGGGTTTGAATTTGAATTAAACTGATTGCTTGGTGGTTGTAAATTTGCAAGATAAGTGTTTTGTTGTTTCGATTCGCTCGTTTGGGATTTATTACATAGTGTTGTGTGGTGACGCAAACCACACAATCGGCAAGAATAAGTAGATTGACACAAATTTAGTGTATGTGAAAAGCGTAAGCAATTGTTGCATGCATTATTTTGCCTTACATAGGCAATGCGGTCGTTTATACTCTTTTGTAGGAATAATTGACATTGTGATAAAGTGTGTGATGATTGATTATTGCATAATCTGCATTTGTATTTATTTGGTGTATTGAACTTTGATTGAAAGTTTTGATTCGAATTATTGGAATTGGTTTGGATTGAATTTGAATGATTGGAGTTTGTTTGTGAATTTGGATCGAACTGAATCATTTGTATATCTTGTGCGCTTGGATTAGTATTAGCAATATAGCTTTGAGGTTGATAGGATTTTGAATATGAATTATTTGAGTTGAATTGATTTTTGTTGTAGTGATGATTTGAATTTGAATTGTTAGATTTTTGTGAGCTGTTTGTTTGCATGTTATACTGGGAAATGTTTGGCATAATTTGCACTGACTCCAGTGCGCGACAATGATTTTTTAAAAATTCTGTCAAGTTTTCGAAAGTTGGAAGTTCTATTTTGCTATGTTCTATTTCGAAAGAGGTTCTTATGGATGAATTAAGACGTGACAACAACATATTGAAGAGCGGAAATTCCCACTGTTTGGTTGGGAAACCTAATAACTCCAAAGCTGCTATGTTTTCATTGAATGTATCTAGCAAGGTTCTTAGATCCTTAGAAGAGCAATTGTTTTTTAATAACATAGTATTGTGAATTGCGTTCCAATAATTCGTAGCTAAAAGTCTTTTGTTTTGATATCTATCAGTTAATGTTTGAAAGGCAACACTGTAGTTGTTATCAGTGACGGGCAGCGATTTTATTAAATTAAGCGGTTCTCCCCTTAGATAAGAAATTAAATGTCGAAATTTTCGCACTGGTGCAATATTAGAGTTATCATGCACTAAGGAGCAATACATATCGTAAAAAGTTACCCATCTTAACAAATTTCCGTCGAAAATTGGAACATCTAATTTTAGTAAATCTTTGAAATCATGGTTGCTATTTTGATTAGGATTTGAAACATAATTTTGAGGAGTATTTTGATTTGGGAAAAGTTGAATAAAAATATCTTTAGTTTGAAAATAAAAACTATCGGTATCTTTTCTGACTTGATCCTCAACTTTAAATTCATCATCTGTGTCGATAAGACCTATGACGTCATTATGCAATTTTTTGAAATCGTCGTAAAACTCTTCTAAGTTCTCATACCTGGTTTTGAAAATAGAATGAAGAGACAAATCGGTTTTTGCTTTGACAGCAGCTGTATACGTTTCAGATATGCGCGTTATGGAAACTAACCGTTTTTTCACGGCTTTTTTAAGTTGTGCTTCGGTCATTTTTATGTAGTGACTGTAACGATGCACGTATTAAATCCTAGAAATATTCCCTTTTTCACGTAATAACTAAGCACTCTGCACTCTGTTGCACTAAACACCGATTTGATTAGATTTTGAATTAGGTTTTGAGTATTGATTTGAGAAATTTTTAGTCGAAAACGACGAATGTTTTGTTTTGTTATTATAAACAACACACCGGCGCGATAAAAAAGATAACTAAAAATAGTTTTGCTATAAAACAGGTGTGAATTTTGTGAATATTTGATCGACAGCGCGCGCTCCTACTTTGGCGCTGCGTCACTTGCCGATTCGTTTATGGAAGGATTGAAGGAATTAAAATGGCGATTTATTTAAGAAATAAATTGACTTTTTTGAAAATACAATTTTTTAAATTTTCGTGAATAATTTGGCGCGAAGGTCCAAAAATGTTTGCGTAAGAATAGAGTTTAAAAAATAATAAATTGAGATTAATTTTACTTCGATCAATTGAAAGTGGACTGTAATTTTATTTTATTTGACAAAGAATGTGAATGGACGGGAACCATACAAAATCATAAAAGGACACTCACCTCGATTGATTTTCTGTCATAGAAAAATCGTTCTTTCCTCTGGGATCCCAGGCCTTTCTAGTTCTGCTACAGCACCACGTCACGATTGGGGTTTGAACCCTTTTTTTTTGAGATATCGCCACTGATTTTTGGTAAATTTTGCGGATTGAAAATATTTTAGTCACGCCAGTTAGGTGCCCAAAATGTAAGAGAGCGACTCCTGCGCACATTCTTGCTTGCGCACCCTTGAGGTGTCATACAATAATGAATATGTATGGTTCATGCGCAACGTAATCATTATTTCGAATAATTAAGAATTTAAACATAATAAAACTTGCACAAACATTTTCCGCCCACCGCAATAGCACAATAGTACTGGTACTGCTTAGTATGGCACTGACCACCCAAACTTCTTGGGAAATATCAAAATATATTGGAAATACAGAAAGAATATTTATTTATGAAAAAGCGGGAATTAATTTGGGCTTTAGTAGATATCGTTGATTGGTTATATGCAGCTTTTTGTTACAAGAAATATGGCCCCCCTACATAAAAAGGGCCTCGCAATGCGGATGTCGCCGACGTCTACATTTGGTTTGGTTACGCCACTGATAGTAAAGGCTGTTGGTATGGGCTTAAATATAATCAAATACCCTGTATGTACAAGGACGTTCGAGACTCTTTTTTCAAGGTGCTCATTTCAAATGAATATAACCTGTACCTAACGCGCGCATACCTGTGTATCTAATCACTTACAGCTGTATGCAACATCCTCTTTTAACTTAAAAGCGCTTTTTAAAACACTTTTAAGATTCTGTATTCTAAGCCATACAAATTTTTAATGGTACCAGTTTTAAAAAGCGCTTTTAAGATTAAAGAGCATGTTGCATAAAGCGATTAATATCTATTTACTGGATTGAGAACCTTTGGATTTGGAATTTGGAAGCCTAGAAATAGTGAATATATAAGGTGCTCAACAACTTTGCTTCTGCCGAAGCCAGGTCCCATCAAATGACTGGCAGGATATATTTTTCAGTTATCGTGATTACTAGTGAAATGCTAAAAAAAAATCAACTTTTATAATTTATATCAATTGATAATTACATAAATAAAATTATGGCAGGAGTTTATAGGTCTACCAAAAAAGTGGCAGGAGGTCGTTTTATGTTTTATTTAAATGTTATTTAAAAATTGATAAAGCTTCAACTTTTATTATTTTCAACAATTAAACTTTATTTTGACATAATTAACATATCACGGTCATCAGTGTCCCGCTGGTACCCCTGCAGGAATCGATTTTAGTTTTCTATAGCTCCGAGATGATACAAAAAAATTAAAACTAATCGTTATGAAATCTTACAAAATATAGTGTCGCCAGCTCTCGTACTATTATCTTTTTCAAGCTAAAAACAAAATAAGTCTGTGTGTTTAGATCTATGTTGAGAGTTTTTGGATCATTAAATCAAATCCCTTGCATGTTCTTTTATGCCTGCCACGGTTTCCTAAACTTGCTCTAATGATAGTTTCAGCATTTTAATCGCCACTTACATAGACCTACATGAGATCAAACATTTATTAGAAGTATGAAAAATATTTGATAATTAATTCCTGGTTAACTAACAGAATCAATGTGCACTAGCGAAAATAGTTTCTAGCTTTAGTAGATTCTGTTGTTCAGTGTCCAAAATCTAATAATCAAATGACCTATTATTGTCCAAATATTGGAGATATCATTATATATTAATTTCGTAATATTTTCAGAGTCCATTCTAAGTACTGCCGTTCTCCTACCAACTGAAATTGACGCCGTTGCCAAACCATGTAATTGTAACTGCCACATAAACAAAATGAATGGTATAAAAGAAAAGATTTTGACGCCTGCAAGCCAATATGTGAGTAGTGTAAAGAATGAGAGTGATATAATAGCACCAAAAGAGAACCACTTAAATATGGGTACTCAAACGCTTAGCACTGGCGAAGTAGTGGTGACCAAGATTTTTTTCAACGAAACGACTGAATAGAGATAATCAGGTTGTGGAGTGCATTTCAATTGTGATTTGAGGTAACTTTAGATAATGGGAACAAAGAAAAAAAAAGAGTAAGATAAAGGTGATTTTATTGAATCTAAATTTAAGATGATTTTATTTATTATTGTAACCATTTGAGAGCAATAATTTTTAAATTTAAACTATTGACTGACAATTTTAACTGTTTTGTCCATTTTATTAGCGTTTTATTGTTCACTTTTTATTATCGATTGTCCCTTTTTGTTGATGTTAATTGGTTTTAAATTTTAAAAAATGTATTTGAGTCTCTAATACACAGCTCTAAGAAATTAACAAACCAGCACGTTGTACTGACAAGAAATAATTTATGGTGCATCAATTTCTTGAAGCTGTTATATTTGCCTTTGTAGTATAGATTATAATTAGTAAAAATATATGTTATTTTAATGCTCAATAACTTAGGTAGGTTGCAACAAAAATATTTAAGAAAATACACTCAATGGCCTTAACTGAAACTAAGTGCATTAGAAGAAAATCTAAATTATTAGATTGTAAGTCTTAATAAAGGCTAGTTTTTTTAATAAAGCTGGCTTGAAGCAATCAAAATAAGAATACATAGTTATTTTTTATAATTATGGCCTAATTTATTAAGCCTTATTAAAAAAACTAGACTTTCTCTACTCTAAAACCTCATATTGCTAGTTTTTGTGGTCCTCTTTTTTTTAATAATTCTGGAACAAAAGACAGCACTGTGCCTTAACAAATTCTTCTCAGGAACACAAAAGTTAGCAAAATTTACATTAGGTTAGCTAATTCTAGTACGGTGGCCCAAAAATAATCTTGCAACAGTACTTACATTGACTTGGGTCACTGGCTGTTGAAAATATTTTGAGACTATTATTTAGGTTTGTAACGAAACTTTTCTGTTGAAGACGAAGACCTTTCATAATTTCTAGCAAATTATTAAATTTGTCGCCATATTTTATTATCATATTAATACATAATGTTTTTTTTCTAACCGTGATATGTGGTCTATATAATTAATTATTAATAACAAATTATTGTCAATACAAAACTTATTAATTTATATTATATTTATTAGGTCTTTGTGTCTTAAAAAATATTGTTTAAGACAACAGAAGGCCATAACAATTGTTATGTAACTCTATATTATAAGCAATATTTGTGTATTGGTAATATACATATTATGTTTGCTGGGAAATGGGTTTTAATGTTATATTTTGTTAATATTTTTTTCCAAAATAAAATTATTATTGAACTTCAATTATATTTACTTTACTGAGTTTGAGAAAATTGCGGATGATTTTCGAAAGGTTTCAATTCTATGCCCACTTTTACATCAGTTTGATTTTTCTTACAATACTTATAATGACGGCATACAAAGATTATAACTATGATTACAATGATTAATATAATTACTGATAAACTTGAACTACCAATATCGAATTCTTTAAGAGGGTGGATAGTTTTTTTAGAATTTTCTAAATCCTCTTGGATAGTTTCCAGATTTATTTCTGTTAACTCTAAAGGTTCGACATTTTGGATTAACTGTTCGTCAATATTGATTGATGGTAGTTTTAGTCTCAAATTAATTATGTCTGGTTTCTGGGAATCATAATTATTTTCTTGAATTTTGATTTGAGGGTGAAATCAATAAAATGTTACTCATTACTTCAATACTATGTTAGCTCAGACATTAGAAATAAATACTCTCTTTTGATTTTGATATAATTATGAGGGAATTGTCATCTAGTTGTGTGACAGAAGTTACCTTATATTTGACGGAAGTCATTGGGCGATGATTTGTTAAATTCATTGTTTGATAAACGCAGGGTTCATTTTGATTGAGTAATATTTGATGTGGCATAATGATTTGTCTTCGATTTTAAGGCAGTTTTCTTTTATAATATAAAAGTTGTCATTAAATCTCATCATATAAGGGTTTCTTGATATCACTGTCTGGTTGTGTAGTGGAATTGGATATATGTGATAAAGAATGTAAGGTTTATCTGATACCAAAGGAATTGCAACTTAAAATATGATTAGGTCATTTTTAATGGTGACGTCTGCGTGTGTAACTTCGTAGTATTTTATTATGTTATCAAAAGGGATTCGAGAGCTAGGTTCAAATTTCGAGATTATGGCTCGTAGCTCTTGATACTTAAATATACTGTGATGCATTATGTTTATTTCTGCGAAATTAAATGCCGTTTGTACATGAATGAATGATACGCAGATTATTTTCTAATGCCCACTTGCACCGTAAGCTAAACACAGGTTTAAATTTTAACAAACGTTTATTTTTCGTAACTGACTTGCACCGCAAGTTAATCCTTGTTTAAGTACCTCTAAACTCCTGTTGAAATAAACCCCCAATTTCGATGGTTTAAAATCACAGTTAACGATTTTTGGGTCTAATGACTTGGGTATAAAAACGGCATTTTTATTTTTTTTGAGAAAGATTCAAATCAAATAGAAACGTTTGAGCTATAGATAAAATATAAATGCGCAAAATGCATATTTTCCATCAGAAAAGTATATTCAAAATTGATGATTTGCGGGTCAATGACGATTTGATACCTTTCGAAAATCAACTTTGAAAATTCCCTACCTACTCTACTATCAGTCGCTATTAGCTGTGTATCAAAGATAAATTTCCCAGTGATATGCCTTTGCTTTTGCAGGTATTCCATAAATTTGAAACCAAATAAATTGGTCGATATAATCCATGAGAAAGGGAGACCGCATTACTCGTAATCTCCTTAAAGTACCTTAGGTATTCCTTGAATGACAATCAATAACCTACAACGTGGTTGGTACGCACACAAGTACAAGCTCCAAGTTATGGGATCTTGAAATTTAAATTATTTTTGAGTCTCGGATTCCTCGCTCCGTTCGCCAAACCAAAAAGAGAAAATCCTGGAAAATGTAAATCCACCAAAAACGTGGAAAACCTTTTGCAAATATAGCACCTTCTTGTTTTTAATTATTTTTGAGTCTCCGATTCAGTGTTGCCAGGTCTACTGATTTATCAGTAGATCTACTGATTTGGCCATTGCTCTACTGATATACTGATATCGATGTGAATTCTACTGATAAAAGCAGCTGTCATTATTTAACCGCTTTTTATGATATTTTTTAAATTATAATCATGTATGAGAATGTCACAGCAATAATTTCATGCTTGACCTGTGGGCTAGAACTCTTAGGAGTGTACTCTAAATGACGCCCGATTACTCCGATCAGTCCGGTGTGGTATGTATTGGAACATTCGAACGCTCCCAGTGCAGGCGCAGCACTCAGCCTACTGGGAAATGGGTAATCCCCGGAGTTCGTGCGTGATTGTGTTGTGTCTTGTTTACTTACCTTTCGTCTTGCCAGTTGCCTAAAGCATGCGTTTTTGTTGGTTAGTCAATTGGTCACATAACGTTATGCTGTACAACTATAGTCCGCCCAAAATAAGAACACCGTTTAAAAAAATGTGAAGAATTTAAGTTCATAGAAAAAAAAACATAGTTGTTACGTACACTCACTACAAAAAAATGAGGCGTTTAATAATTGTTATTTCTTAAGAATTATTAAACGCCTCATTTTTTTGTAGTAAGTGTACGTAACAACTATATTTTCTATATGAACCCAAATTCTTCACATTTGTTTAAACGGTGTTCTTATCTTGGGCGGACATTAACTGCAGCCTGTTTCACCTGTTTTTATCGGAGACTAGACTACTAACTACATACTACATAGGTAGTGCATTCTTTGGTACCTAGTGCATATCAAATAGGAATATTTCACGTCTCTTGATAAACTATTTCCCATAAGTAGTATTGGTGTTTGAATTGTTTGATTTTCCAATGCAAGTTCATAGTCTAATGCACAGTCTAAAGATTTAATGATTTGAAAAAATGTAACTGAAACAATAATTAATTGAGTATACCCTAATGGATAACCCTTTTAACTAGGCAACTTATCTGTCTACTGATTTCTACTGATATTTAGACTGGTAGTCTACTGAAAAAACGAAATCTGACCTGGCAACACTGCTCCGATTGCTCCGATGCGTGTTTGTAACAAAACCTACCAAAACCCTTTCATATCGTATATAAGTGAAATGTCTGCGAAATTATTTTATTTATTTATTTATTTATTCATTACAAACTCTACAGCTTTACATCCAGTTACAGAGTAGGGTAGAAGACTAACCTAAGTGAAAGAAAAATATAAAGTAAAGAGTTATTGAGAGAGTAACTTAACATTAAAATCTATATTTGTAAAAGTATATCATTTAAGTATTAATTTGGTTCAACAAATAAGGAGCATTTATCATGTTATTTAATATTTTATAAAGAAATATAATTGTAGAAACTTTCCTCCTACCTTCAAGCGTTTGTATATTATGAGCTTTCATAATTTCTAATTTTGGTATATGTGTCGCAGGCTTAATGTAAAATCAGTCTTATTATAATACGCCTAGGCTTTTTCAATACGACTAGGCATATCGTAATACTACCCAAATACTTAAGAATTTCACAATTAGACTGGTAATTTTAGTCTTATTATAATACGCCTGCTCCGTGTTAGTCTTATTGTTGAAATGAACCTGCATTAGAATCCGACTAGATGAAATCCGTCGTATTATAATACGACTGATAGTGCACCAGGTGAATTGTATTGAATAAAACTTTCAATGTGCCTTTTGGCCGATATATTGTGCTGAACGCTAAGTTTTTTATTCTTTATGCCAAAGAGATATCTTAATCACCAAAGTTTAAAGTATTTTTCCCAAATTTCGTCTCTGTAGCATAAATAATAGGAAAGCTACCCTTCAACGCAACATGTATCTTTGTTTCTCTTTCTGGAATATCAATTATTTCATTACCTACTTTGGCAGTCAATGATTTAATCCTTTGAAAACCATTGATTAAGCCGTGTATGGTACCAATTTCATAATCTCCATTCGTGAGTACAGTTCAGGCACAAATATTACACAGAAATAAAACTAATCAACAATAATAATTAATATTATTCGACTGGCACACTGTCAGTCGTATTATAATACGACGGATTTCATCTAGTCAGATTCTAATGCAGGTTTATTTAAACAATAAGACTAACACGCAGCAGGCGTATTATAATACGACTGAAATTACTAGTCGAATTTTAAAATTCTTAAGTATTTGGGTAATATTACGATATGCCTAGTCTTATTGAAAAAGCCTAGGCGTATTATAATAAGACTGATTTTACAATAAGCCTGCGACATATGCATTTCATATCGCCCTGTTTTCTTGTAGTGTAAATATCTCAAAAATTTATCTTGAATTTTTTCAATACTTACTATATTTATGGTTCTCATAACACGGGCTCCATATTATAAAACAATATTCTAATATACCCCTCACATATGAAAAATACAGAGTTTTAACACACAATATATTGAGCTCTTTGCAATATCTGACAATAAATCCATACATTTTAGATGCCCTACTTGTTATGTCATTTATATGACTTCTGAATGTAAGCTGGGTGTCAAATATTACTCCAAGATCCCGCATTTCTGCAACCCTAGCCAGTGCCCTCTTATTCATTGTATACTCATAGTTAAAATGCGTTTTTCTTCTACTAAAACTAAGCACAACACATTTGTCAATATTAAATTGTAATTTATTTTTAATTGACCATAGACATATTTTGTCCAAATTTTTCTGAACATACTGACAGTCATTGTAGTTGTTAACTCTTGAATATAGTTTTAGGTCATCTGCGAACAATAATACTTCTGTACCACTAATTTCATCAACCAAATTATTTATATACAACAGAAAAAGCAATGGTCCGAGGTTGGAGACCTGCGGGATACCTGAAGTTGCACAAAAATAATCGGAATAGTAACCACTGACAACAACCCGCTGTGGTCTATTATGCAAATATGACTCAAAAAAAGCCAACAGATTATCATGAAAACCAAACTCATTGCACAGCTTTTGTACAAGGATGCTATGCGATATTCTGCCAAAAGCATTGGCAAAATCTGTGTATATTACGTCGACCTGGCATCTTCCATCAAGGCTCTCAGGCAATATACTGAGTCATCTCACACAAATTACTAGCCGTAGATTGCTTATTTAAGAAACCATGTTGTCTGACTGATATCTTGTTTTTCACAAAATTGTATATAAACTTATATAAGATGGGCTCAAATATTTTGGCCGGGCACGACAACAGTGATATAGGCCTATAATTTTTCACATCCGTGCCATCACC